TGGCGTCCCTGCTGGCCGGTGGGCTCCCAGCCGAGAGCAGAGGGGTGGACGAGGGGCAGAGGCGAGCGAGGGAACGTTTGGGACGAAACTGACTGGGTACCTGTTGTCACGTGAGTGCCTTTCGGGAATGAGGTCCTGCTGCTTCCAGCTTTCGGTTACCCCACTCGCCACGGGCTTCCCCACCTTCTTGCTGACAGTCGGTTCATCCTCGGTGCCTCCTGGGTTTTCAAGGAACGTATCTACTCTTCCAGGGTCTTATTCGTTGCCTGTTTGTCTGTCGAGTGAGGCCAGAACTTGGTGTCACTTGGATGTTATCTGCCTCGAGCCTCCACTCTTTAATAAATGAGTGCTGAGGAAGGTGTTTGTTCCAACAAGAGAATTATTTTCACGTGATTGTTGAATGCACAGACAGCCATATTAGTGGTTTCTATCAAGCGCTTTCAGTTTTTCTCCCCCCTGTGGAAATATTACAGTCAAATACTGTACTTTATGGACACGGGCTCCTAATTGGTTTCCTTGATTAAAAACCCTTTAATTTTCCATCAGAAAAAAGGGTTTTCCCTTTATGTCATCATTCAGATTCCTTCTCCTTCAGGGCCTAGCTCAGTGAGTGCCACCTCTGTTGATCATTCTGATTGAACACCTGTTCCCGTGCTACCTGTGACATCGGAGGCAGCATGGCGGGATGCTGTGTATAGACAAATAAGACACTCAAAGAGCTCACTGTCTTGTCAGGGCAATACAGTATTACTCAGTTGTTCATAGAAAACTTACGAAGGCACATACTGGGATGTCTTTTCTTATTATCTGGGAACCTCCCTCAACCATTTTCTTGGGTGCTGTTTCACTCTGTATCAGACCCACAGTCTTGCATTGTGGTTATTTTGTTTTTTGTTCCTAAAGTCTCTTTCAGATTTAAGATTCTGTATTTAGCCCCAGCGTCCTTCTGGTGTCATTTAAAAGTAGGGATCTCTTTGGATGTGATGTGTCTTTAGTGCCTTAAGCACAATAGCTTGTCAATGTATGTGAACATGAATTAATGAACAAAGGGTGAGTCCAGAAACTCCTAGCTTTTAAACAAGATCACCTTAAGTAAA